TATTGCATTGATAAATTTTATTTTCATAGATTTTGATTTATTTTATTTTTTATTGAATTATTTTGTGTGACATTGTTATAACTGAGCTGTGTTGTTTCCCATACCGTTCATTTCGTAAATATAAGTATAGAGGCCACACCTGTGACAGATAAAACTATGCTTTTCTTGACAAACAGCGCCATCTGTTGCATGTAAGAGCAACACACATGCTATACTAAATACATTACAATTCCATTTCAGAGTTTGATTGCATTGATAAATTGAATTTTCATTGATTTTTATTTATGTTCATTTTGATTTAATTATTTTGTGTGAATTGTTGGAATTGAGCTGTGTTGTTTAACATACCGTTCATTTCGTGAGTATATTTTTTTTATTTTTTTTCATATTTCTTGTAATTTTTTAACTTTTTCTTATATATCATTAATGGGGAACATCAGATCACTTGATGTTCCCAATTTTCTGATGGGAACATCAGACCATTTGGGATGGCATCGGACGAGGGAGTGGGGAATGGTAGTGATGACGAGGGGACAAGGGAAGAGTAATGGTAGGGAAGGACGAGGGGACGGAGGAGTTTGGGATGGTGGGGACGAGGGGATGGCGGAATGGAGAATGGTGGGGAGGACAAAGGGAAAGGGGAGTGGGGCATAGTGGGAAGAAAAAGGGGATGGTGGATCTGATCACAAATGTCATATCATTAATGCAAACACTCAAACGACAAGACCGATGCGTACCTATCAACTGGGTGCCAAGTCATGTGGGAATAATAGGAAATGACGTTGCAAACGAAGCTGCAAAACTTGCAACTAAGAGAAGAAATGTAGACATTTACATACCACAGAGTCAATCACAGATTAAGAAAGTAATTAGAAACAGAGCAATGTAAAAGATGAACAGTGACCACAACGCAGCAGTTGCAACATCAGAATCTGCGGGTTGGTACAAGAATTCAACCAACTACGAACCACCTAGTTTGATGAAAGGGAGCAGTAGAGAAACAGACGTACACTTACATCGCATCAGGCTTGGATACCCATGTGCATGGGAAATAGGCTTACAGGTTCCGGAAGATGAGAGGAAATATCAGCACTCTGGAGAAATGCCTGACAGACCACTGGAACATTATCTAACACAGTGCACAGTTACAACACCATTAAGATTTCAACTTAGATTCAACAGAGTAGAAGAAGTTGTTAAACACATGGCAAAATCTTACTAAAGCGACCATCCGAATCATAAATACTCGTACTCCGGCCAAGTAAAACAGAAACAAGTATCACGATGATTGATTGATGACTAGCCTACCCAAGCGGTGGCACGGGCAAGAATAGCCCTTACGAAACGGTTAAAAGATTTTGTGCTGCAGGATAGACAGCCGAAGATGAGGTGAAGGTGCCATCAATACTCGGCCCATCCTCCTGTTTCGGTAATACTAGTAACGATGACGACCATCGCACATAATGATGTAAAAGGCAATTGGAAAGTAAAAATCGACACTTGAATTTGGGCAAACCGGAATAATTTTGGTATTGGTGTTGCAAAGAAAACTTAACCTAACCGTAATCTAACCTTCTTAGGCCTAATATACGCTATAACTAACATAATACATATATGTGCTATACTAAGCCTAGAATATTTAAGTTTGGTTTTCAGCTTTATTTTTTATCGGACTATAAAGTGTCTAAAAATTCTAGTAGTACAAAATTCTACTATCTAATTGTCCATTACGTCTATGTATGATGATGCCAGCTCCATAGGATCTTGACCCCTTTTAACAATGGATCAAGACTATAGGAAACAGAATTGTACTAAAAACAGCACCTTGTTTGACCTAGTTGTGATTTAGATTGAAAAGTTAGTTGGATATATGTTTCAGAATAGGGATGGCCCTCAGCAATGTCCTTTGTTTTTTACTTCCTATTTTATCTTTCTTATTACATAGCATCTATAGGCAACCCTGGTCACGGAGCTGAAATAGATAACATAAACACTGTTAGATAAAAGCCCACAGTTTCATACACTCGAACATTTCTAAAGACACACCACCTCAACACACACTATTGTGCTAGTATACTTAATTGGGCACACATAAAGTCACTAGGCTACAGTCCAGTCTGCTGCTTACGTAGGCTACAAGACCTGTAGAACATAATAGTTCTACGTATTATGTATAACGGAGAGAGGAGTATAAACTATCTCTAGGATGGGATCAGGGATGTCAATTCTTGCTCTGCAAACCCCACTAAACTTTTTGACATGACCACAAATATAAGACAAAACGGAGAAGGCTGTGCAAGTTCTATATTCCTTGACACTATCTGTTTTATCCTGACATCATCTATGAACAGTTCAGTGTTGTCCCTCTGATCCAAGCTTGCTTCTCTATCTTGTACACCAGTCTTAATGAACAACAATATCAAATGCATTCTGATAATTTAGGAAGACAATTTCCAGCCAATTTTTTTCATTCGTATTTTGACAACTCATTAAGTGAAGT